AGAGTGTGACGACCTACTCTTCTATCGAATTCCAACTGCAAAGGGGTCGTTTACGTGCACGCCTGCAGTGTGTACAAGTTAGAGATCTCGGTTTTTCGTCCTATCCGAACGACTATAAGTTGTCCCTTGCCAGACTCTCTCCTGCACCACTGACAAGGGGAACTACGTCGGAAAATCCCAATAAACTTTCTCGGCCAACGCAGAGATCGAACACGAGATCTCCAGGTTAGCGAGCCAACATCTCACTCACTGAGCCACTGTGGCTCCTCATTCTGTTAAAAAAAAACTCTTTTCGGAAAAGTGGGGTAACTTGGGAACGGAAGGTCGCAGAATGGTGAATATCGATATGGTTTATTCCCTCATAACCATTAACCACAATGCTTCACACCAAGTTTGACAAAAGATCTGCCAAAAACTGTAGCCTCTATTAGACCGGAGGCTCAGTACGGGGGGTGTCCATCAAATGGGCACAAACCCAGACCCAACATACGACGCCGAGTGGTAATCAGTCCGCCGTTGGGGCGTTTTCGATATATTCGGGGTCAAAGGTCAAATGAGGTCATTTGCACTGAAAGTGAATGCGCAGTCATTCTTATATATCATGAAACCATGCTGAAAATGATCGAAAGTAATCACTTTTTCAATAAAAATATAAACTTGCTAAATTCACTTTTGTTTTTTGTGAACCGGGGGTCAAAAGGTCAAATTTTCCATTTTTACACTAGGAAGATTTAAAGTAATAAATTTCAGCGTAAAATATAAAAACTAAAGCGAAATCTGTTCTAATTAATAATAGGAAGATTTAAAACTTATCTTTAGGTGGTCTTAGCACCGTACAGTTACTTTGGAACGTCGAAAACGATCTCGCATAACAGAACCAAAACACTCCAAAACCTGTTTCAAAAACACGTAAAAACTGTCAAATCGAAATCTCCCCGATTCATTATACATAATGAAACTAGTTGTCCCTATTGTTTTTGGTGCATGCTTGAACCCAAGGGGCAGAGCCACGTCCATGTTTGAAGTCAATATATTCAAAGTCTGTGTAAGCGAGCCTGTCACGCCTTTAATAGGCTTCCTGCAGTAGGCCATCAAATATTTGAGATGATTTTCGTTTCCCCCTATACACCATTTGCAATGCATACTGTTTTTTTAAGAATCATATTTGGATATGCCTTAAAGAGTTACAATGATTTAAATCTGTAATAGACCTAATTGTTTTAACATTTTTTTTTTATTTAGGGTTGTTTTTACGGCTACGTTCATAATGTGGACGTCTATTGCCGTCGCCCTTGTCTGTATGGATGTATGGGTGTGTGTCTGTGGGTCGTCTACAGGCCGCAATTCTGAATGAATTGTCTTGAAACTTTGCATACTTATTTCTTATACCCTAAGAATGATCCCTATTGTTTTTGGTGTATGCCCGAACCCCAGGGGCAGAGCCACGCCCATTTTTTGTATTTGTTTTATTGTCGTCAACGGGCCGTATTTTTTAACGGATCATCTTGAAATTTTGCATACTTATTTCTTATACTCTATAAGGAGCATCACTATTGTTTATGGTGCATGCCCAACCCCCAGGGACAGAGCAATGCCCATTTTCTCTTTGGGTGTCTGTGTGTCGCCTATAAGCCGCAATTCTTAATGCATCGTCTTGAAAACTTTTCGTACTTATTCTTTATATACGCATGACCTCTATTATTTGTTGGTGCATGCCCGACCAAATCTGTGTGTCTGTGTATGGCCTACGGACCACAATTTTATTCTTGACAGATACTTTTGAAACTTTGCATACCTATTCTTGTTAGCTTGTGGTCCCACAATCTTTATCCTATTTTAAAAAAAAAAACCCTCGAATATATCACCGTTATACCATAATGTCGGTCGAGATCGAATTTCGTGAAAAACGGATCGAAACCGTCGGAAAAAAAGGCCGCTGCTTGTACACAAATGTATAAGTATGTAATACTTAGGTTATGGACGCTCTAGAAGTCACAACTTTCATCCGATTTTGATGAAACTTGAAATGGATGTTGATAATCTATACAGATCTTGGTTCCTTTCGATATTCGCGCATATCAGACCGTAACTTCCTGGATTATGGTCCCTGATTGTACGAAAAATCGGGTTTTTTAGCTTGTGGATTATCTAGAGGTCACAATTTTTTATCTGATTTTAAAAACCGTTTAAGAATATCACCTTCCACGGTAATTTGAATTCTGGGAAAATCGAAACGAAACTGCCCGACTAAATGGCCGCTCTTTGTACGCAAAGTGTGTAAAAGTAGCCTATGTAATTCTGGTACAATTTTTTTTTATCCGATTTTGATGAAACTTAAAATATATCTTTATATCCCAAAAATCTCAGCCCTTTTCGATATTTGCGCATTTCAGACCATAACTTTCAGGATTAGGGCTACTGACTGTACGAAAAATCGCTTTTGTTTTTAGCCTTTTCTCTATCCATCTCTTGCAAAATGTGGGCGTATCTTGCCTGGCAACTGCTGGTTATCCGATTTTGATGAAACGTAAAACGTGTTTATATTCCAAATTTGGAGAGATCTCGGTTCCATTCTCTGGGGATGTTCCAGCTTTATGGAGAAGTAGAGCTTTTGTGTTTTATTTCTCCAGTCTTCATGCAGTTAAATTTTACTTCATGTTGGCCCCACCCGGAACATAATAATTAATACTTTCCTGGCCTAACGGACACCTTTGTCAACAGTAACGCCGAATGGTTAGCGCGTGTGCGCTGTATCATAAGGTCTGGCATTGAGTCAACTGGTGTGGTTTCGATTCCCCGGTTATACGTGACAAGGAGTAGGAATGCCTGTCCAGCCTCTTGGGTTTTCTCCGGGTCATCCTGCCCCCCCCCCCCCCCCCCGCCCGCTAAAAAAACCCACGCAAGCAAATTATTGAAATAAAATTGAACCATGTATTAGTCCCGAAATGACCTATATTGTGTCGAGTGGAATCTCTCTCTCTCTCTCTCTCTCTCTCTCTCTCTCTTGATTGTATCATTGGTTTTACTCATATAATATGTATGATATGGTTGGATTCCGTATTGATCATTGCTTGATAAAGATACCTGTAAGAGTATTGAAACGTTCCATGTAATCAACTAAGAAGTAGTGTTTTTAGAGGTTTCTAAATGTTCAATTTGTCGGTGCTGCCATTTTAAGAAGCGAAAGAAGTCCGTTGGCGTTAACCACGAGATATTTTAAGAAAGCGATAAACTCTGGCGGTGTTGCCCAATGGACATATTATTCTACCCACCGTCTCTCGAATAGTGTCCCGGCGAGTTTAATATTGCCCATTTCCGTTGCTTCTATATGCATTCTAGCAACTATTACAGAATTATTATTACAACTGCATGTGGGGCTCTTTTATAACAGACAGTATATGATAACTTTTTGACTGAGTATAAGATCATGTTTTCCAGATGCACTGCGATGCACTGCAGTAAAGTTTATAATAAGCATCAAAACTGACATAATAATATTTTGGAACTCCGTGTACTGTTATCAATATTCAAGAACGAAAAAAAAATATATGTCATCAAAAATTGCTCAATATACAAAAGGGTCGAACAGCACGTCAATTGTGTCAGTCAGTCTGGGGTCATCGGAGGTGGGCTTATTTCCACAATATCTACCCAACTGTCAACATATAAGTAGTTAAAAATCGTGTGACTGTGAATAAATTCGACAAACATCCTTTGGTGAAACCTGATAACAATTTGTCATAATTGCATTCTGTAGATTATCAACCTTACCTTGTTCAGTTGGGGAAATATTCCATTATCTTAAATTCATTGTCAATTTTGACTACATCTAGAAATAAAATGTGTCACTTTTTCAATATCTTTCACAAATAAAAATATAAAATGTTCAATATTTTAGGTTTTTTTTAAATAGGAATCTTGGCTACTCTGCTGAATAAACTGTGCATTAACGTGATTCTTGTACAAATATTTTAAATATAACATGTTTAATATAGAGTAATGCAGGTATTCGGGGTTATTTAACGCCGTGGGTCTAAATTTAAGGCGGTATCTGTATTTTTTTTAGTTCTAAAAATGCCTAATAATTAATATTTGTTCATTTAATAATTTTCTGCCTGATGTGTAATTTGTTATTCTAGTTGCAGTTACGATTTTATAAGAAATGCATCCATTCAGTAGTTTCAATATCGATACACTGTTACAAAATGACGTCCAGTGTGTATAAAGCTAAACATGGATTATTTCATTATTTACCTTTTAAATTTTATATTATGATTAGCAGAAGACAATATCCGAACAATATACTTGCACATAAGTATATATTCTGTATACACCGTGTAATATAACACAGTTTAGAGTGCATATTAAAAAATGTCAATATAACCCTCTATCAAAATAAACACCGAAAACATGAAAATATAAAACTATATACTGGCCACAAACCATGGCGGTAGTGAATTTTCCATACCTAATTTGTCTGTTAAAGGCATTTAAATTGTTCGGGGATATCCTGTCCCACTTTACTGAAATATAACGGGACATTGACATACATAATAAACGGAAGAAAAACGACGATAACTTTTCTAAAACTTAATGTCATTCAAATGTTTTTTGATATCTAGTTAAAGAATGCGGTACTGGGAGGCCTGTCACTTAAATAAATCACTGTCAATTATTTGGTTTGTAAAAATTGAGTATTTTATAGAAGGGGAATCCTCCCTTTAATTTAGGTTATGGGAAACCTCGCATGCAGGCTATTCATTTAACGCCATCTGTCGGATATTTTACTAAAGTAGGTCGGGCAACCCTGTGTTCATACGCCTAATTGATCAAATAGTTCTCATTGCCCGTTGCGTCACCACCGAAATACGTACCCGCATATTTATGACCATGTATTCAGGTAATTACGAATCTTTAATCATTGTAACAACTTATTAATGATGTAAATTGATTAGCTAATTATGCATACAGGTTGCGCAAGGTGGTTGGATGTTAATGTATTGAATATTCTGTTCTTGACCTCAAGTAGTGCGCAGGTTATTTTTATCTCTCGCATACGAATGATATAGTTTTGATGCAAAATTTCTGGGTCGATCGTAAAAATTTGGGGCAGATTCATGAATGTTGAATCAAAATGATGTCAACAAATATGAAAGGTAGGTTTGATGACGTATAATTAAGTATGATTAAACTTTCCAAAGTGTGGGATTTCGTGCAATATATTTGCATACGTGTTGAGGGAAAATGGCGCTAAATTTTCTGTGATGCTGTTGTGAATGTTCACTATTTGGATTTTACCGTGTAATTATGCAACCGAGGTATTCTATTTCATTGCACCTTAAAGGATAGTGATTAAATGCCAATGGGTGTCATTTTAATTTGGACTTTAGATAACTGTTACTTCAGCAAAACTCTCCTACATTCCTCTATTTACACTCGGTTTCATCTATCGACATGGGTTGCAAGCTAGCCGAGAGGGAAAGCGTGTAGTTGACACACCCCCGGATTCAATATGGATTCGTGCACACATCTACTGAAGCGCAGCAAGTGCTTTGGCAAATATCTTAAATAAATTTAGAATACCGATCTAAATAAAGTCTCACTACCTCGAAATATCTAATGTAACGGTCTTCTGTTACATGGCAATTGTTGTGTTATATATGTTTGCCGTGAACTGCGTGGTGGAGTGAACTTTGATTTCAGCTGATGGACGAAACCATGTTTGACAGTAGGGGTGAGCAGGTTGATTAACTGAATATTATATCAATTTTTAATTCGATGATATATATTATGGACATAATCAACTGGGTACTACTTAAAGAAATGCACAAGACATTTTATGGTCATTTATTTTAATATTGGAATTGTCATGTTCAGTTATATGAACTTGAACATGTGTTTTGCATATTGCTGCAGTAATGTAGATAACTTGGAAATAGTCACGTGAATGATAAGTGATAAAAGCGGCTAACAGGTTGTATATATACATGTAGTAGAAGTAAAGATGATACATGTAGTGATAATGTATGTAAAAGTACATGATGGGCAAAACATGTAACCGCAAAAATTACACATTAATTTTAGATTACAAATCGTTTTAAACACAATTTTAAAAAACATTTGCAGGTTTTTAGATTTATTTTTAAAATCTGATACATATGCATGCTTTTTGCAACAGATTAAAATCTATTGTCATATAACATACATGTATGCATAGTTTTTTTTTTGCAGCCAATTTTGCAACATTGTTGAAATTATGCATTATGGCATAATCATGGTCTAAAAACATGTTATTGATATATTTACTAAACATTTCCCTATATTACTGTATAAAAACAAACATTATGACCGCTTTTTTGAGCTGTGGTGCGCAAGGGGCAGTAATCCTAATGTATGTGCTGTAGATCTTAGTTCTGTTATCCATGCAAGTGATGGATTGGATGCCACTACTAAAGCCTTTGCATGCATCTTATTATAAAAAATAAAAATTAGCTTATGCAAACTACAGTACAAGAATTTCAATTTGAAATCTTTGAAAATAAACTTTGCAAATTCGATCAATACATGTATATTCATTTGTAGTATCTGCAGAAATCTAATCACTCTATTAATAGCCCCCATACTTGTAAATTATACATGTATGGGAAGGAGGTGGTAGCGATTGGTCTAAAGTACCGGTACATGTGAAGGTTTTAATTGTTAAAAGTCTGCCTGAGGAAAGTGGCACGGGGGGGGGGGGGGGGTGGATGGCCGAATGGTTAGCATGTGCGTGCTGTATCATAAAGCCTGGTTTTGAATCCCTGGTTGTACATGACAAGGAGTAGGGTCGCCTCTCCAACCTCGTGGGTTTTCTCCAGGTCCTCCGGTTTCCTCCTACTGCTTAAGACCCCTACGCGCAAGCGAATTATTGAAATAAAATCAAACCATATGTTAGTCCCGAAATGACTTAGTTTGTGTTGAGTGGATGTTAAACCCCATTTCTCTCTCTCTCGGAAAGTGGCAAAGTTTCAATCCCACACTTGAATCCAACCTTGTGGGTTTCCTCCCACTGCTAAAGACCCCTATGCGCAAGTGAATTATTGAAATAAAATTGAACCATGTGTCAGTCCCGAAATTACCTAGTTTGTGTTGAGTGGACTTAAACCCCATTTCTCTCTCTCTCTCCCACTCTCTCTCCCACACCTGAACAATGTATGTACATAAAAAGACCCCTATGCGGAAGTGTATTATTGAAATTATATGGTTAGTTCCAAAATGACGTGTGGGTTGGGTAGTCGAATGGTTATCACGTGCGCATTGCATCATAAGGTCCGTCATCGAGTCAAGATGCATGGTTTTGGTTCCCTCGTGGGTTTTCTCAAGGTCCTCCAGTTTGACCCCTACAAGCAAGCGAATTAATGAAATAATATTGAACCATGTTAGTCCCAAAATGACCTAGTTTGCATCAAGTGGATGTTAAACCCCATTTCTCTTTCTCCAACATGACATCATTTGTGGTGAGTGGTGAAAGACCCATGAAGAATTGGCTTGAAATGTCTGTGATGGGAATAAAATACTGGCATACTGTATTTTGTCAACCATCATTCAGAGAACTACCTATGAATTTAAGCCAAAGTTCTTCATTGAAACTGTCTTCAATATTATATTCACTTTGAGTCTTCAATAAAAAAAAAATTCTCGTTTAAGTACATAATGGGAACCGTGGTGGCTCATTGAGTAAGGTGTTGTCCAGGAAAGTTTCCCTGAATTTTGTTGCATGGTTTTCCCTTGTCAATAGTGTATATGTACATGTATGTTTGCATGCATGTAAAAGAACCCTAATGTCTTATCTTCATTAGCCAAGTCAGTGCTAAAATTTAGAAGGTTAAAAACCATTTAATTTCTAGAATAAGTTATGAAAATGACATTTCTATGCTGTTATCATCACCAACAGAGTTTTTTGGTTGATAGTCTTCTGAACACTGATTAAAACTATGAGGAAATGGACAAACAGTTACTTTAAATTATTAGTTTAACAATGAAAATCAGTTTTCTCTGTAATTCAAAGACTCAATATTTATTTTCTTTTTATTGTGATGCCTGTGCTCAATTAAATCTACGTTGACAATGGTAATTAAAATGATCACAGATTGTCACCATCCACTATTTTCACTGTCAGATGCCAACAAACATGTAGCTGACAGTGGTCTAGTCATAAGGTGCTTGACCTCAAAACTCAACTTGCAATAAATCATGATTTTTGACTTGATTTGAGAGGGCATGCTACACATTCCTGGCACATAAATGCATATGAATAGGAATATGCTTGCAGTTGTTATTTCATAATTTGACAGTACATTGTCAGAAAATAATATTTTTATAGTCCATTAAATGTACAATACATATAGATGTAGTTTATACATTGTATGTACATGTGAAAATATATGGAGACGCAATGAAATTGCACATGGATCCTACAAGTAGCCTTTCAAAGGCGTAACTCCTCCATATGGGGACATTGCTAAAGGAAGACACACACTTTACTACCGACTTTTCATTTTATGGTAATTTATACCCCTTGTGCCTACATGTACATTTTACTATAGAGTAATGTTGCTATGGCCTTAATGGGTTGTTGTTGATTTTCTTGTGTTGGTAAATGTCCAGCCTATAATCATGCCAAAAAACACATTTCGGATACATGTGCATTATGTGTCATCAGCACCTCCAGTGAAGCGAGTATATTTAAATGCAAAGAAAACCATGGACATGTATCCGATTTCTTGAATAAAATTGCAGATAATAGAATATATGTGATATGAGTACTCAAGACCTCCAGTCCATTGTGGACATCTTTAAGTTAAAAGTAAACATACTTTGTTTATTTTGTGTGCCTAGATTGTTGGAGAGTTTTAATACCTGCGTGTTTTACTGAAATTGTATATATTTTAGTGTGTTTAAGCCACATATACACTGTAACCCAGGTATCATTTAATCTTGTGTACATGTATCTAGCACTAATTTCTTCCACATTCGTTTAATATCCAATCTTTGTTTAAAAATTCGTAAAATCTGTTTAAAATCACCATAAATCGTTTAATTTGTACTTCTGTCCAGTTTAAAGCTGACCATTCAACTTGATAATGAGTGTCCAATTTACAAGTGTTTAATTTCTCAATCACTGTTAAAAAATAAACAACCCAATTGATTAATAGTGTATAATGATTAATTTTTTAACAGTGGTCAGGAAATTAAATACTTGTAAATTGGACACTCATTATTAAAATTAATCGAGCCAGCTTTAAACTGGACACAAGTACAAATTAGATGATTTTTGGTGATTTTAAACAATTTTTACAAATTTTTAAACAAAGATTTGATATTAAACAAATGTGAAAGAAATTAGTGCTAGATACACAAGATTAAATGATACCTGGGTTACAGTGATACAATCCAGATAGATGTATATAGATTCATGTATTGCATACTGTGATACCCTGTCTATCTGGATGGTTAAAACAATGGTTGTACCTTTTATAAACTTCTAATAGTAATCTGTATCAATTTTTCATGGCATTTGAAGTGATCTTGCTTTCAAAAATTTATATTTTAAATCTTTAACTTTTACACACCCGCATTTAATTGTGGTCATATATTTTCATCACCCCATCCATCCACCTGACATCCATAATTGCTTGTGGACACTCTAGTGGCTAAAGTTATCATCCAGTTGACTTGGAATTTATGCAGTGTTTTTATGTTCAGAAGACGAAAATTGCCTTGACCGAGAAAGTTCATCAGGATTTTCAGGTGTGGTTCCCCCCTTGTCAGTGGTGTAGAATGGAGGGCCTGGCAAGGTACAACTTACAGTCATTAGAATGGGATTAAAAAGTGAAGCCCCATGTACACATAGGTGTGCCCGTAAAAGAACCCTTCACAATTAGAATTCGAAATAAAAGTAGGCTGCAATGGTTATGCTCAGGCAAAATTCCCTCATAACACACTGTAAGGTGTATGCCCGTCTTAATTATTCCAGTTGGAGTAGAACAGTAGGACCTTAAACCCCATTTAATTTCATTTTGTCAGTATAGATGTACACTGTTACAGTGTAATATTATTGTACAGTGGCATTTAAAGATACATTCCCACAAAAGTATTTATTGGTTGTTTATTTCTAATAAAAGTAGGGCTGGACGATATTTTCGGTAATTCGATAAATCGTGATATTAAAATTTGAATTCCAATATTTTATAAACCACCTAAAAAATCGCGGTATAATGATATATCGTATTGTGTGTTTTTCTAACAATATACCGGTATTTTACACGATATAATCACGATATTGTGTGCTGCATTTGGGATGGGATTGACATCGAACAATTTACGACATTATGTCACGATCGATAACTCGGATGACTTGTCACTTGTTCATTGACAAGGCCTACTAAATACATTACTAGTCTAGTGTTGATTATTAAACTTGATAAATAAATTCATAATTGAAAAATTATTATTTAATTTATAGAGGCATTCCCCTCTTGCCATTGGAATTTGTCATTATAATGTCAAACCCGTCGCTAATGCTGTGCAACACTCGAATAACCAGCCAAGTAAGTCATGGCGTAATATCTTCTCTTCGCCGTCTTCGGTCGATTTATCATTGCCGGAACTGCTGGGAACCAGTTATTATGTTTTAATGTATCGTGCCGTTTGTTAGTTAACTATCATTTTGTGTGTGTGTTTGGGTGGGTTTTTTTTGCCAATTTTTTAAACTTAAGCCGATTTTAATAAAAGTATAATGTTATTTGTAAATAAGACTAAATTGCGTCTAGATATTCGAGATTTAGACAAACTCCAGAGTTACGCGCCATTGTAGTGTACCGAATAGGAGAAATTACGTCTGGTTCTTTGAGTCTACTCATACCCACATGTTATTCAACATTTTGAAAGATGGCTGAACATTGCGAAGCTCAAGCTGATCGAACAAAACCCTAACCCTTAAACTTAATTCTCGGTCTGTGCTTTTGAAACAGGGATAATGTACCCTAAGGGGGAAGGGAATGACCTGTTTTTAACACTTATATAATCACATCTTTTATAATAAAACTAAAATATCGGGATATTTTAATATATCGCGATATATCATTAGCTTTTTATAATAAAACTAAAATATCGCAATATAGTGATATATCGTCGTTTTTTTGGGAAATATCGCGATATTTGATTTTACCAATATCGTCCAGCTCTAAATAAAAGTATGGCAATTTTGGTATATATGGAAAGTTAACACCTAATCTTTATAGAAAAATACTGAATTCCCTTAAAAATACCCATGGAGCGCACACAGGTCAAAAATGAGAGGGTGTACTAATTGATAGCCCAATGATTAAAGCTGTCTGCGTGAATGATGTTTGAAGCAAAATTTTGATAGATTAATTGTACGTGGGAAGGTACATGTATCTTTAAAATCGTTGTATAATATTGTGCTTTGGTATAGTTATCATACTGTATATTGTACACTGTACAGTAATATTTGAAGAGTATTATATTGCACAGTAGTACATGAATATAAAGTTATCATGTATATTACTGCACAGTGGTACATGTATTTAAAGTTCTTGTGTATTACATGTATGTAGTGTTCAAAGTAACAGTGGATAAGTGCGAATGAAGTACATGTACTGTACTACAGTGTGCATACATGCACTAACATTTCCAATTCTAATATCTTGTTTGTATGTCATTTTTTATGGCGTCTACAATATCATCCGAATTAGCATTTACAAATCGAGATATTTAGTAACTTAATATGCATTGTGCACACAAGAAAACGATTTTATATTTATATGTCAGGAGATTTTTTTCTACCAATCTCTTGGCAAACTTTCATCTGACATTATCTGTGTTTTAAATACCTGCATCACAGATGAGTGCAGTTCTAGATCTTAATCTTAATGTACAACTAACTACATGTATCTATAGTACACATTATTATCAATATAATGTACATTATATAATTTTTTAGGAGCCGTTGTTGTTCAGTAAGAAACATGCTGGCTCGATAACCTGGAGGTCCCATGTTCAATCCCTGTGTTGGCTTAGAAAGTTCATTGGGATTTTCTGACCTGGTTCCTGCTTCTCAGTGATGCAGGACAGATGACCTGGCGAGGAACAGTGTATAGTTGTTTGTGTATAGTGTATAGTTGCCTGTCTTCATTGGCCCAATCGAAGTGGGACATTAACCCCTTTTCATTATAATTTAATATCCTACATGTACATGTACAGTATGTACAATAAATCCACTATATTATCTTTAGTATGTACACTTATAAATATTACAAAAGTAGTATAATACATTAGCTACAAATATAGCTCAGTAGCCTCACAGAATAATTTGCTTCGCAGATTATGAACATTTAATAATTGATAGTGGGATACTGACTGAGATTGAGATACATTTTGTTATGGCCCACTTTGCGAGGTAAACTCTTAGTTTTCTACTACCCATTCTGAAGCATGTCCAGTAATGAATTATGGAAGACCAAAATGAAAGATAAAGTCAATTTTTCGTTTAAAATGTTGGTTTTGTGCATGACATGTTGACATAAGAATTTAGAAACAAGAATCATTAGTTTAGAATGTTGCGTTCGTGTCTAAAATGTTCAAACTAGAATGTAGAAACAAGAATCATGAATATTGTCCCATTTGGTCTTCCATAATGAATATGTGTAAGCTATTATTATAATGTTCATTAAAGATTGAAATTATACCATTTATATTGTAATTTATCGTTAAAATTCTATTTGTTATATTACAGGCCCGATTGAAGTTTTGTCATGTATATTGTAAATTATAGTTATATTAATTGTTATACATGTATTACAGCCCAGATTGAAATTATACCATTATTATATATTTATATTTGTTTGTCCCCCGCCTTTCGAAGAAAGCAGGGGACTATTAAAATGGGTTCGTCTGTCTGTCTGTCTGTCTGTCCGTCTGTCTGTCCGTCACACTTTTTGGGACACAATAACTCTCTTCCTAATTGAGCTAGAATGTTCAAACTTGGTGTATGTGTTTATTAGGTCAATGCCTTGATGGAGTTCGAAGATGAGCATTTTCCGCTTAGGGTAAGCAGAGATAAGCAATTTGATTGGTTGATGCTTTGGGACACGATAACTCTCTTCCTAATTGGGCTAGAATGTTCAAACTTGGTGTATGTGTTGATTAGGTCAATGCCTTGATGGAGTTCGAAGATGAGCATTTTCCACTTAGGGTAAGCAGAGATAAGCAATTTGATTGGTTGATGCTTTGGGACACGATAACTTTTAATTGAGCTAGAATGTTCAAACTTGGTGTATGTGTTTATTAGGTCAATGCCTTGATGGAGTTCGAAGATGAGCATTTTCCGCTTAGGGTAAGCAGAGATAAGCAATTTGATTGGTTGATACTTTGGGGCACGATAACTCTCTTCCTAATTGAGCTAGAATGTTCAAACTTGGTGTATGTGTTGATTAGGTCAATGCCTTGATGGAGTTCGAAGATGAGCATTTTCCGCTTAGGGTAAGCAGAGATAAGCAATTTGATTGGTTGATGCTTTGGGACACGATAACTTTAGTTCTAATTAAGTGAGATTGATGAAACTTGGTGTATAGTTTCATTACAGTAATACCTTGACTAAGTTTGATCATGAGCATTTTCTGCTCAGGGTAAGCAGAGCGATACGCAATTTGATTGGTCGAGACTTTGGAAAACAATAACTCTCCTACTTTGATTGTCCCCCGCCTTTCGAAGAAAGCAGGGAACTATTAAAATGGGTTCGTCTGTCTGTTTGTCTGTCTGTCCGTTCCGCTTATGGTAAGCAGAGATAAACAATTTGATTGGTTGATCTTCGAATTGAGTAAATGTTCATGCTTATTGTCCCCCGCCTTTCGAAGAAAGCAGGGAACTATTAAAATGGGTTCGTCCGTCTGTCTGTTTGTCTGTCCCTTCCGCTTAGGGTAAGCAGAGATAAACAATTTGATTGGTTGATGCTTTGGGACACTATAACTTTAGTTCTAATTAAGTAGATAAACAATTTGATTGGTTGATGCTTTGGGACACTATAACTTTAGTTCTAATTAAGTGAGAGTGATGAAACTTGGTGTATAGTTTCATTACAGTAATACCTTGACTAAGATCGATAATGAGCATTTTCTGCTCAGATTAAGCAGAGCGATAAGCAATTTGATTTGCTGAGACTTTGGAACACAATAACTCTCCTTCGAATTGAGTTAAAATGTTCAAAATTGGTGTGTATGCTTATTGTCCCCCGCCTTTCGAAGAAAGCAGGGGACTATTAAAATGGGTTCGTCCGTCGTCTGTTTGTCTGTCTGTCCGTCACACTCCTTCGAATTGAGTTAAAATGTTCAAAATTATTATAACCAGGTATTGATAAAAGCATCAATTGAGCAATTCCAATACAATCCAATACAATGAATATAGGCAAGGTAAATAAACAAATAAATGGAAAAAACAAATTGAAAAAGAAACTATTATAAATTAATTAAATATGTAGTATGCAATAATGAATTGACATTTAATGACAGAAAGAAAACAGTGAACTTTGCACAACTTGCAGCAAGATGGAAAATAGACCCGTTGATACAACCAAACTCTAGATCTGTAGGCATAGAGCATGTTTTCCCCTTAATATGCTATAATTATTCCATCAAAAACATTGTATGCTTAGACTATAAGTAAAGATATACTGTTTGATTGTTCAATACTTTGTAAAAGATAATTTGTGATAAATTTATATGTGTCCTCTAATTATTTTCCTATTTCGGCGGGGGACATCAGCCTCACTGTTGGCTTGTTATATTACAGCCCAGATTGAAGTTATACCATGTATATTATACATGTACATTGTATATTTGTTGTAATTACAGCCCAGATTGAAGTTATACCATGTATATTATATATATGTTATATTACAGCATAGATTGAAGTTATACCATGTATATTATATATTTTTATTTGTAATAATTACAGCCCAGATTGAAGTTATACCATGTAAAGTATGTGGTGATAAATCATCTGGTGTTCACTATGGTGTTATCACATGTGAAGGATGTAAGGTAGGAAAACCATATTTCATTCTGTACCAAACTGTCACTTTATCCTTCACTAGCCTCCATATTTATATAATTCTTTAGATAATTTCTCATTAATTTATCCATTTATTGTGTACTTATTCTCACATTGTTAATTATATTCTTTACTTGGTCTCATTGTTATCTTCTTAACAAAACTCTCTATAATGCAATGATTATAAAACTCTTTATTCCATACTTTAATCACTCTTGTTTAATTAGGGAACTATAATTAATTTATATTTACTACAGTATCTCTTACTTTAGTTGTTCCCCCCCCCCCCCACCTTTCGTAGAAAGCAGGGGACTATTAAAATGGGTCGGTCGTTCTGTCAGTCCATCCGTCTGTCCGCCACACTTTTTGAGATACAATAACTCTGCTTCTAATTGAGCTAGAATGTTTCAACTTGGTGTAGGTGTTTATTAGGTCGAAGATGAGAATTTTCTGCTAAGGGTAAGCAGGGCGATAAGCACAATGATTGGTTGAAACTTTGAAACACAATACCTCTCCTTCTAACTGAGTTAGAATGTTCACATTTGGTGAAGGTGTTTATTAGGTGAATGCCTTGATGGAGTTTGGAGATGAGAATTTTCTGCTTAGGGTAAGCAGAGATAAGCAATTTGATTGGTTGATGCTTTGGTACACAATAACTTTGGTTCTAATTAAGTGAGAGTGATGAAACTTGGTGTATAGTTTCATCACATCAATACCTTAACTAAGTTTGATTATGAGAGCATTTTCGGCTCAGGGTAAGCAAAGCGATAAGCAATTTGATTGGTCAAGATTTTGGAGCCCGACAACTTTGATTTTAATTGAGTGATAGTGGTGAAACTTTGTGTATAGTTTTATTACATCAATACATTGTACCATAACAAGGTTCGATGCTGAGCATTTTCTGCTTAGACAAAGTAGGGACTTCAATCTGATTGGTTGAGACTTTTTAACACAATAACTCTCCTTCTAATTGAGTTAGAATGTTCAAAATTGGTGTAAGTGTCTATTATGTGAATGCCTTGACATAGTTTGTTCATGTGCATTTTCCACTTGAGACTTTGGAACAGGATAAGTTTGGTTCTAATTGGGTGAGAGCGATGAAGTTCTGAGTATAGATTCATTATATCAATACATTTTGACTAAGTTCGATAATTAGAATTTCCTGCTTTATTGGTCAAGACTTTGGAACATAACAATCGAGGTATACATGTTCATAAGGCGAATGTCTTGACTGAGTTCAATGATTAATATTTCCCATTAAAGCTAAGCAGAGCTACATGTAAGCAATTCCTTTGGTCGATTTTATTTCCTAAATCAAATGTTAAATAATCAAACTGAGTGCATATTAACATGAATTAATGAAAATTGCAAATGACGCAGTGTTTCCTGTATTTCCTGTGGAACTTTGAAGAGAATGGTGTGTTAAAGTCTCAAATTGTTATTCCCTTGTGAACTGTAATGTTACCAAAGTTCGGTTGTCTAAAAGACATGTCATTTTAAAAATGGTTGAATTCCATACAGTGAAATAATCCATTTCAGTACATTTTATTAAGATATGAAAAATTAGATACATGTACTGTCCAAAAAATACAAATGAGTCAGCTACTTGAATCAAACTGAAAAGCAAGTATTTATAAATAAAACGATAATGAAACCGATGGGTTTGAGTCCCACTGAAAAACTTTCTATTGATTTTATTGATTGTAGCAGCAGAACGCGTATGTGTATTAAATAATTGACATTGAGCCAATGATTTATCTCGACTTCATCTGTCAGAGAAAATGGCTTGTCCTTACAAACCAACAAGAAAATCAAATACAATTCTATCAGACAATATTTATCAGCTATATTCATTTCTGCACAATATCAGCTAAATGTAGTAACTTGTAAAAGTGTATTGCAGAATGATGATTCAAAGCATAATGCTCTGTTGCTCATTTATTGGATTTTCTGAGTTGGGTATTCTAGGCAATATTGATATTCGCTTTCTACGTAGAATAAATACATGATAATCGTATGAAAGGAACATGTAGTGCGAAACAAACAAACAAATCCTTTGAACACATGGCAAGTATTATTGCAAAAATATTTAGAAAATATCTTTTTCATTAGATTTTTCAGTTATTCATGTTGTTATTTTGTAGGTGAATTTCTAAGATTATGTAAACATTTGACAAACAGATACCATAGCGGACAGACTGCTTTCCAGTTTTCAGAATATTGACAAAAATTCATCATTATTGATAATCGTACATATAAATACTGACATTTCCGATGACTGGGGTTTTAATGATTTTATTTTGAAAGTGATATCCACTTTCTATGATTGTCCAAAAATTAGCAGAGGATCCGACATTCTTTTGTGAAGAACCATTGTTATATATGTGATATTGACTTAGTTTGAAAAGCAAACATAACTGTATGTGGTAAACCTATATAAAAATGTCACAGGCTTCATAGTCATCCATGTGTAGATATAGACAATCCCACCAGTATCATCCTCTACATGTCCATGTATGTAGCTGTTACTCCAGGCCCATATGTATATAATTTAGTTTCTTCAAATAAAAATGGGGGTGTGCGCGTTGTATTATAAGGTCTGTCATTGAGTCAACTGGTGTGGTTTCGATTTCCCTGTTGTACGTGACAAGGAGTAGGATCGCCTGTCCAACCTCATAGTTTTTCTCCGGGTTTTACGTGACAAGGAGTAGGGTCGCCTGTCCAACCTCATAGTTTTTCTCCGGGTTTTACGTGACAAGGAGTAGGGTCGCCTGTCCAACCTCGTGGGTTTTCTCCGGGTTTTACGTGACAAGGAGTAGGGTCGCCTGTCCAACCTCGTGGGTTTTCTCAGGGTTTTACGTGACAAGGAGTAGGGTCGCCTGTCCAACCTCGTGGGTTTTCTCCGGTTTCCTCCTCCTGCTAAAGACCCCTATGTGCAAGCAAATTATTGAAATAAAATTGAACCATATGTTAGTCCTGAAATGTCCTAGTTTGTGTCGAGTGGACGTTAAAACTCTCTCTCAAATAAAAATACTGGTACCTTTAATGGTAAGTGCAGGGGGACAGCACCACACACAAACAATTAAAAAAGACAAACCTATGGACAGGACAAATATAGATACACAACAAACAACAAATGCACATACTACATCAGATCATAATGGTACCATCATAGGAATAAACCACTCGTTATTGTATTCCTGAGGTAAAAAAAAAATCTCACTTGTCAATTAATTGTGTAGAATTTGAAATTGTTGAGATTTGCTATCTCTAAGAGGATTTCCTAGATTTCAGGTAAAAAAAATGAGATGATTGCCATTGATTTTCTAAAGAACCGGTTTTCATTCAATAAAATCTAATCTGGTACATGTATGGGATATCTAAAAATCTACTATTTCTCATAACCTTCAGAGAATAAATTACAAGAACTCTTATTGTACATGTATGTGTATTATTGTACTGAGAAGTCTACATTCTTTTTAAACCTAACATTTATTATTAATTGAATTATGTTTTAGGGTTTTTTCCGACGAAGTCAATCTGGTCCAGTTAATTACCAGTGTCCAAGAAATAAGGCATGTGTAATTGACCGTGTTAATAGGAATAGATGTCAGTATTGTAGATTACAGAAATGTTTAGCTTTGGGAATGTCCAGAGATGGTAAGTTTATACATGTAATTGCCTTGGTGCATTTTGTTGACTATCATATTTTGTATTTAGAATGGTTGCATATTAAGAGCTTCTTTCCAAAAATTGATTTGAAGTTTGCCCGTCTTCATTAGCCCAGTCAGTGTACAAAAGCAGGGTTTTTAAAACCCATTTCATTTCCAAAAAGTGTCATCCGAACCTATCGGTAATCCATTTTACAAAACTGTTTTGGATTCTGGACGCTTATCTCATATTTTAAATAGTTTTGATTTGTAAAAGAACAGATTAAATATTGTTTTAAACACATGTAGTTTTATAGAAAGCTGCCCAATATTACTGTAAAATTTGTTTGGAAAACAGCTTGTAATAACGTTCCAAAATAGTAGTACAATTATATCTTATTTTGACGATCATTTAGAATGAAATGAATTACAAAAGAAATCATTTCATACTACCTTTCAAGAATTACATGATCGTGTACAAGTAATACAATTACAGCATAAATCAATATTTGTTAACATTTTAGCGGTAAAGTTTGGTCGAATGTCGAAGAAACAACGTGAAAAGGTGGAAGATGAAGCCAACTTGGTAAAACAAAGTCGTTTAAATGGGTATGAACTTCCTTCTCCTACATATAACAACAACAACAACAATCAGTTTGTCACGTAAGCTTTCATTTCCTTTCTTTTTAGTTGCTTTTATTCTCTCATTTTGTTTAGTTTAACTAACACCATTTTCTCTTGTGTTAATATTTCCATGTTTATTTGCTGATCTGTTTATTTGCTGATATCTTGCATTAAGAAATATTGCTTGGGAAACGCTTTCCTGATCTTAGTCCAGTCAGGACATTTTCTAAGCAAGAATAACAAGGAAGAAATATAACATTATATCTGTTGGATGAAATCAATGTTTTCCTCGAAAGCTTTTTGCTTCAGAAATCAATTCTAAACTCTTTAGCTGTTTAGATTAGGCATGGCTTGAATGGCTTCATTTCGATACAATTTGTCACAACATTTTTGTAAACACATTCTGAAAATGGATAAAATTCTAATTGCATTGACTACACAAAAATGGGACAAGTTTTCAATACATTTTCCTTGAGATGCTTATTTTAAGATTGAAGCATGAGCCATGATGTTGTTTGAAAATATTGATTGAGTTGTCATAGTTTTTTATGTTGCTCGTTTTAAACCTTTTGGTGGGCAGTAACTTTATGACCATTGAAATGTGGCTGATTAATTATCATATCATTTTATTTTTATTTTTAACTTGCTTCTCATCATCATTCATTAACAGCACTTATATTGTATAATTAAAGGACAATATTGGTGTCAGCCTTTAACAGATATGTGCTAGAACTGGTCTAACCCCTTCCAAAAATAAATTTAACACAGAGATCATTGCTACAATAGATGTGTTATGAAGATTTTAAGAAAGGGAAGTGACAAATGCAAAAGGAAATTATGAGTTATCCTTGTATATAACTGACTGAAGTGACGAGTGATAACAGATACACGTGCAAATTTCTGCTCACTAATAATTCCTTCGAAGACCAATTATTGCGTTTTCCTTTTGCGTTCGTCACTTCCCTTTCTTGAAATCTTGATAACACATCTATCGTAGCAATGATATGTGTTAAAATTATATTTGGAAGGAGTTACACCAGTTCTATCACATATGTGATAATGACTGACACCAATATTGTCCTTTATGGGAAATGTTCTTATGCATTAATACATGTACATTTAATATTTATCAAATGATTGTTGAATTGAGTTTCTATTTGCATTAAGGACACATTAATGTTTATATTATTGATACAGCGTATGTGAATAATATCTCAATAGACCTGGTTACTGCTGAGCATTGAATAGAGTTGGCATCAACAGTTTTATAGGACATTGAGAAATTACTTTGCTAAACTTTATGCACTTGTAAATGTCACTGATAAGTGATAAGCTGTATTTATACCTAGAATGGATAAGTTGCTGTGTGTTGACATAGAGTATTAAAAAAAAAAAAGAAAACTGATAAAAATGAATTTTACACAAACATTGCATTGACATGTTCTTATGCAGACTCAAAATATATAAAGGTATCATTGTATATTTTGTATCTGTTTTGTTTTCTGGATTTGGTACTTTTATATGTGCAGATCATCCGTCTTGGTTAGATCTAAGCACATGGATTGTGTTAGATCTAAGCACAGGTATTGTTTGTGACACATGTATCAACTTTACACCGCATATTATACACATGGGTATAATTCTTCATATAGTATGATCCTAAGAGTGCTGTTTGATTTTACAATGAGTGGAATAATTTCAGGTTAACAACACCAGGATATGGTTATACGTCAAATGGTTATAGTTATACATTATCTGGTAATCAACAGCAAGATTATCCTGTATCACCTGATACAGCCAATTATCCTAGTTCACCTGGTCCACATCCAATATCTCTTGTTAGACCTGTAGACCTCATGGATCCTAGTAAGTTTATATACAATCAGCAAGTTCATGGAAAGGCCACCCAATGGGCAAATTCTCCTCAAATTGCACACATAATCATAGAAATAAAAACAATGTTCTCTCAATCTCAAAATAAAAAGGCGAGGAGGCATTAAACAGTATTCTATGTCATACTTATTGGTTTGTTGTTTTTTTTAAATTAATATTTTTATGTTTGCACATTTTGTTTTTTTAAATTGTTTAAACTTTGTTGTAGTGACATTTGGTAAAGCTATTACAGAAGCCCATCTTAGAACATCCCTTTACAGCCCTGACCAAATAGAATCATTAAAACAGCAGACTGTCAGTCAGGAACAGATTGATTCATATAAACTGATGGTAAGATCGCCAAAGTTGAAGTAGACAAAAGGATCGTTGTGTTTGTTTTATCTTAGTTAATTTCATACACCCAAGTAATTACTTTGGTGTCATATTGTACAATAATGATATGACTTGTCATTGAGGGAATATCTTTTTATTGGTTCACATTCCTCAAATGGTGTACTGAAAACAAGAAATAAATGTGTTTAATATGACATTTTATCACCCAATAACACATTCTACAGTAGATATCGCTTGTGTGATAACTTTCACATCCTAGGAGATAGAGGTTTAAATATTTACCAAAGAATTATATCAATTTATTTGTGCATGCAAGAAAGGGTTGAGTGATAAATAAAATCTTCTACTCATCTCTTTTGATATATATATATATATATACATATAAAAAGTGTGTAAGGTGCTGGCTCGCTAGCCTGGAGGTCGGGTGTTCGATCCCCTCATTGACCGACAAAGTTCATCCAGATTTTTCGGCGTAGCTCCCCCTTGTTAGTGATGCAGGGTGGAGTGCCTGACAAGTACAGCTGTTTAGTCTTCGGATGGGACAAAAAACCAAGGTCCCATATACACATTGATGTGCACGTAAAACATCCCTTGACAATTGGAATTCGATATAAGAGTAGGCCGTAGTGCCGCTGTCTGGGCAAAATTCCCCTCATGGCACACTATTTGGCGTATGCATGACTATCTTCTAATAATGTATCATTTCTACTATACTACAGAATCACTTTCAATTATGGATGGAAATTGCTGAAAAAATTACCCTAGCAGTTCAACAAATTATAGAATTTGCTAAAATGATTCCTGGTTTTATGGATTTGTCTCAAGATGACCAGATTATGTTGTTAAAAGCAGGTGGGCAATAATTGATTTATGATATATACATGACATAAAATACCTTGTGACATAACTATTCCCCAGACATATTATAGATAGTGGGTATTGCCACTGCAGTCACGATGCGACAGTATTGTGATTCAGGTGCTACGATACGATTCGTATCATGATCCATTACCAGGTCAATATTTACCAAGAAACTAACAGGATGAATGGATAAGTGATATTTTTAGTCCTGCTGATGTCGAAGTAATAAAACTGTTTTATATTATGATATTGATGGGGATCAAAATAAGGACCAAAACAATTTGAGTGTGTGCGTACCCATGGATAATGTGTGACCTGGATAATTAACAGTGACGGGTTACTTAATGAAGCGAGAAATAAAAAACATAAATAATCATGAGAAGGTGAATCACGATGCATCGATTAAACGATAATATTGTACTAGCACCAATTATAGATAACTTTCTTACTGACAAAAAATATACACTTTAATTAAATTAAGATGCATAAAAACAAGTACTAAATCTAAACATTTGTGTATTCATGATGTCACAAGATATTAACCTATAAATCGTACTACAGCAGATGTATATTTAAGGGGGTTGGGATGGCCTAGTGGTCTAGAACTCTTTGAACTCTAGCTGTTCAGTCTCTTTGGCTTGCGGTTATAGTTTTGATCCCCGGTGTAGCTTGGAGATGGTGACAGACGCCTTCTTAATCTTGTGGGTTTACTCCAGGTACTTCAGTTTCTCCTTCCATAGGGAAAATCCCTGTGCATGCACTAAGATACCGTAATGAAACAAAATACAAGATAACTTGTCTGTGATATCACACTTAATGGTAGCAGACTTTAAACACCATGAGCAACAACATGTATAATTAGTATGTCGTTTATATATATCACCTTCTGTGCTCCTTCATGTTTACGAAATAGTGTGGGAGCCATAAAAATTTTTTTCAAAAATGTGAAAAAGGCTTGTGTAAAAAAAAAATACTCATATTAATTATGTTGCAAGAGTAAATCTATATTTTCTTAAATTAAGGAGATCCAAATTGTATTTAGTCTTGACTCATATTCTCTTTATTATGCCATTTATATGTTCCACAACTTTTCGTCAGTTTGATTACTTTGTCAGCGTGCTTAGCACACAATTTGCACAAAAGACCAAACCCATTTTTGTCCCTCCCTCTCCGTGGCTATTTGCTCTCCAGTAATTCTAATTTAAAAATTGTCCATCTCCAGACAATACCAATAGTGATAATCAACACAATGCCAATGAAACAAGCGGTACATGAAAACATTTTTAAACAATGTAATGTTATTATTAGACATGTCATTCTATCATTCCTGCAAATATTCTCCATTAACATCCGCCGAAATATTAGGCTGTCAAGTAACATAATATTCTATTGACGGATTTCAGACTTCTATCCAATTAAAATGAGCCTTACATTAGTATTCAATATTGGAATGAAAACTAAAATCAATACGTTTGAATAATTATGGTAGCCCTAGTTTTACCATAGAAACGCTAGTAATTCGACGGAGGATGTCACTATACTCAAACGTTTTATAAATAAACAAAAACTGAAAGTATGGCAGTTTATGAATCTCAATATTTAAGAGAGCGACTTAGATGTGAAGGACTGTATATCTATCCCCTTCTGTAGTGTGTTTTTAATACATCTAAAAAATACTGGCTTTATACTTACACAGAAATCAACATGGCAAAAATATGTTCTTATGATTCCCATGATAAAATCTAAGATATATGGCTGATAACTTAGTTGCTTAAAGTTATATTACATGTATATATAGTGTAATATATATAATGAAATAAAATTTCTTTGTTGTGATGTTACAGGTAGTTTTGAGCTGGCATTATTGCAGTTATGCCGAGCTTATGATGGAATAACAAACAGTGTTATATTTGGAAATTCATATATACCTCTTGAAGCATTTAGTGCTTTAGGTAAGTTTGATTAATGATTAATCAGTTAAAGGAGAATTCTATGGTAAATGTTTAATTTTATCATTTACTTACTTCATTGTGTAACGCATTCATTTCAGAATTAATTTTTAAAAAAAAAGTTTTAGTAACAAATAACGTTAAAAAACACTTTCAAGTTTCTGCAATTACGGAAACACCTGACAATTAATGAGCTGAAGCTAAATCACGTGATATGACATAAGAGGCGACGATATGGCATCGGCAGAAAGTGACAGCTTGTCAGACATTGATTTTGCCTCGAATGTCCTTCCCTATCAGTATGAGCCAATTAGAAATGCGAGCAACAACGGTGGCGATGATGGTTCGAAAAAATTCTACCATTTCCAGCAACGAAGAATGACAAATAGGCACTAAAAACAGCGTAGACCTACCTTGTCTTATCTTTATCACAGTCCTTCGATTCTTGATAACTTTTCTCTTTATTGATGTTTATGCATCATCGCAGAAAATATATCAGAGAAAAACTATTAATTCCAATAAATTTACCCTATCCGTAGGGTAAAACAGTATTTTATGCCCTAGACTACTTTCTTTGTGCAACAATTGAAAAACGAGGGTCACATGGACTATGAGCTGAAGCTAAATCACGTGATATGACATAAGAGGTGACGATATGGCATCGGCAGAAAGTGACAGCTTGTCAGACATTGATTTTGCCTCGAATGTCCTTCCCTATCAGTATGAGCCAATTAGAAATGCGAGCAACAACGGTGGCGATGATGGTTCGAAAAAATTCTACCATTTCCAGCAACGAAGAATGACAAATAGGCACTAAAAACAGCGTAGACCTACCTTGTCTTATCTTTATCACAGTCCTTCGATTCTTGATAACTTTTCTCTTTATTGATGTTTATGCATCATCGCAGAAAATATATCAGAGAAAAACTATTAATTCCAATAAATTTACCCTATCCGTAGGGTAATACAGTATTTTATGCCCTAGACTACTTTCTTTGTGCAACAATTGAAAAACGAGGGTCACATGGACTATCAGAGTATCGCTGATAAATTTTTCTATCACACTCATTTACCTAGTTAAATCTGACAGACTTTTTACGTCTGGGACTATCTATGATCGACAGGAAAATCATTGACAGGCCTACTACTGACGTGGAAGGCGCTTTGAAAAGGGGATATTAATTTACATTAGTATTTAGGCTAAGCCTACCTAGCTGTGTTATTTACATTTTGTTGCTATGGTTACATCAGTCATTTCTATTGCTAAATTTTGAAAGTGTGTCAGTTTCACCATAGAACCGTGCATAGTTTTAACATAGAAAGATAATATAACTGCTATATCTTGATCGACATAATATTATTAAAATTGCACTGGTCACGTTCGTAAGCAGATAACTTGCAATGCTCCAAACAAAGAGAAACATGTTTTGACATCACCTCATTGACATAGCTGTGTCCAGACCTTTCTGCGTGTTGTCTTGCTTGGAAATTTTTTAAAAAATGACACATGCTTCCTGATTTATTGTTGGTGCTATTAGTACATCCCCAAGCAACATAATTGACCATTTTTATGCTTCGAGTTAGTCAAAAAGACAGGATGCAGTGCTCAGTTGCAATAGCCTCCTATAAGGAAATTCACAACGTTTGTCGTCTCTGACGTCAATCACGGAAAAAATCTAAACGAGGCTGCAGATATGCATAAATGTCAGTTCGGTATTTTTTGGTATATTTATCCTTTGGGAAAATATTCAGAGTGACTTAAAATTTCGCAGGGCCAAACATATTCTAATATTAACGTTATTTTTCATATTAAAAAAAACTTTTTGCGATAGCATTCTCCTTTAACATATTATATTACTGGGTATAAGTCGATGTGGAGAATAAGTTAAATCGTCATATATTTTACTGTTTTTTGGACCCTCATAAATAAGTCAAAGCAGTGTATAAGACATATGTTTATTAACTCTGTAGCAATCTTTAATTGAGATACAGGAGTATTATTCTACACCCACAGGATCTCGGTGTACACTGTTAAATATGACCATTACAGAAGACAACATGCAATGTTACTAAAATAGAATTAAATAGAAGACACTCATTGATTTAACAATTAGAAAAAAAATTACTAGAATTTGTAGATTGCTTCATTTAACTGAAAACTTAAATAGAATTCTCGCAAGAAATTATGGGAGATAGATTTTATTCAAATTTTGACACCAGGAAAGACAGAAGAAAGCTATGTCTATTTGAAATATCAACAAGTGATTGGATTGGAATTGTGAAAGTAGTTTTAGACAATAGCAAGAGTCTGAACAATGCCATGTGCTTTGAGTTTTTACTTTGCCTTGCAGACAGTGTTCCTGATGTAAATTTTTTTTTTACCTTGATCCATATATAATGCAATTTGGATAATAAGTAGATGACCCGACTTCTGCGAAAAGAAGAATCAAATTATACCCTAAAAATTAGGTTACTGTGTATATTTAATAACCACTCTTCTAGTATATTTGAGAATAAAGGATAGTTCTTCATAATATATCACCTTCAAGAAAACATGAGAAAAATAATTGAAATGATTAAATTTTGTAAAATAACTGAAAATATAATATTTTGTAAAATATCTTTATTACATGTATAGATGATGAAGAAAAGATGGTGATGGAGAAAATATTTGAGTTTGTGAAAGCAGTGCAGACTTATAAATTAACAGAAGTTGAAATGGCTTTATTTAGTGCTCTCATCTTAATCAGTGCCGGTAAACACAAAACATTTATCATCTTGTGGAATGATTTGTGCAATCTCATGTTTCATAACTTCAAATTCTGAATTTCTAGACATTATAATGTTTGTTGATGGGGCCACATTAGATTACACAGTATGGATAATTCAAGCCTCCATTATTATCATATGATCTGTGTCAGTAATTTGAGGGATGTAACAAATATTCTATATACTCATTTTAAGAGCATGTAAAGATCCCATATCAATTTCTCACTGTCCGCAAAATTCTGTTGTATAGGGAATGCAGTGATTTTGTGGTTAGACCTCTGAACTCGCAGCTAGGATGTGCCATGTTGATTTTCCAATGTTGGTCAAAAACAACCAAGGGAATTTTTCAAATCCAGTTCCCACTTCTTGCCTTGTGGTCTGTAGGGTTGACACAGAAAGGGTGTGTAATCATTCAGATGGTTTAAAAATGATCTCCATGTACAAACTTGTAGTACAGGAAAAAATCCATAACGTTTCAAAAAGAGAATGGTTTCCAAACAAATTTCGCCTTCTCGCATTGTTTGCTAGCCCATATTTAGAGCCATTATTATTTTCAGCAAGAAAATAATGTTCTTAATTTATGTAAGCAGAGCACATTGTTAACTACTATAATGTGTAGGATTCAAAATGAAACTTAAAACATCTTTACCTCAGTAATGCAATGGTAGACATGCCTCAAATTTTGCGTACAATCTTAATTTAGAATGCCCCTTTCACCCTTCTCAATACTCAGTAGGTAAATCACAGCTAATTATGGTGCTAACAATAATCGAAGTAATTAGTTGAAAATATTATACTTGGTTGAATAGGTAAAATCTTATCATTTATATATTTCAGATCGTCCAGGATTAAAAGATACAGGCGATATACAAAAATTGCATGAAAAAATACAGGCATCATTGAAGCTTGAAATTGGTAATAATCACCAAGATGACGCAGAGACATTGGCCAAATTAGTGGCTCAAATCCCTGTTGTGAGAGGTTTGAGTTTGCTGCATGTTCGTATCTTACAAAGATTCAGGGATTCCCAACCAGATGTCGAGTTTCCAGCTTTACATAAGGAACTTTTTTCGGCAGAAACAACAGAAGCATCGTGAGGACTTCCCTTTGAAAACAACATCTCTGCAAGTGTGCTTTGCATTTGATTCTAAAGCATAAAACTATTAAGAAAAAAATGAAAATATATTTTAAAAGAATGATTGACTCTGATTTTAATCTTGAATGATTTAATGGCAAATAAGAATGAACAATGATCTATCCTACTTGGTGAATGGAAAGAATAAAAATATATATTTACATTAAGTGCTTTGATTTGACTTGTGTGGGTGGAAGGCGCCATCATGAATAATAGGCAGGAACTTGTTATTAAACAAAACTGTGATGATATGAAGCTGATCCCCTCGTGTTAGAAATGCTGTATATCTTGTGTTTTAGATGGTCCGATTCCACTCCAAATGATGTTTTAAGAGGAACAAGACCAGGCATTAATAATGATTATTTTTAATGAATTATTTGTTTTAATTGTTTTATATACAATTACAATTCCTATATACACATTTCACATTATTTTAGCTTTAATATATCTATTATTATGTTTCAATTTCAATGATGAAAAGGTACAAACAGATTTCTTGACAAATGAGAAACAGGCATTAAAATCGAAATAATTAGGGATGACCGTAAATGGTTAATTCATGTCATGGAATAAATAACTTGCACAATGTAACAGAGAAAATGTAGATTGTCATGTTTTTACATGCCTGTCATTGTTCCAAATTAAAATGTATCTGATTTAGTGTTCTGTTTAACTGAAGTAATGTCTGAACATGTCTAAAAATTAAGTGCTATCTTGTGTCACATTATTTGATTTTATTGTTTGATTTCTTAACTGATATTTTAAATAAAACACTTTTATTGGTATAATTTCTTTTTCCTGAACTTTGGATTCCAGGCAGGCCCTGAATCCACTCCCTATTTAGTGCATTCTCTTCTTTCGTTGAAAAGTGAGGTAAAACCCAAGTCTGTATTTAACTTGAAGTAGTAGATCCAGATGAAGACATCATCATTGTGAAAATGAAATAATGTGTAATTTGGGGGGGTACTGAATTGGATTTTCAAGGTAAAAAAAAATATATTTCAGTATGTACATTGATATCAAGAACGATAATTTCTGATTCTATCTACTTGAAAAGTGCCAGTAATACATTTTTTTTTTTGCCCACTAAGGCTGCGTTTATATTTCATGAGTTATCTAATTTTCTGACAGACAAAGGAATTGCAATTTATAACAAGACTCCTGAAAAACAGATTAATTTGTTTCATTCTGAAGTGTGACGACAGCCTTAGACTATTTTAGTTTCTAGTGTTAATATTTATAGGTTTATTTTTTCATGAAATTTATGATATAATTTGATTTATTACGACAAATTGTATGATATAGCGTCTTACTATTATAACGTATGGTGTATAGGCGATGTAAAAATGATACACATATTATAATCATATAAAAGACAAACTTGTTACAAGTCATGAAATAATGTATATAGAAATATTGTTGGGACAAATCATATTTTCATGTTATCATTGATTTTATTCTTTAATCCATAATATTGTTATCTGCTTTATATTATAGCCATAGTTACTTCTACTGAGAGTCACCTTTTCCTTTATTTTTTTGTTTTAAAAACTATAAATACAGCACTGCAGAACTTTTCACATATATTAATTTTAAAACATTTTACAAATATTATGAAAATGTATATAAGTATACATGATCTGACTATAATATGTGTAAAACATTTTTGCCTCTGGGCATATGAGCATTTAATTTCAAACATTTTGTTGCACTTGAGATGATAACCATAGATTCTGTTTGGGAACTATTATAAATGTTGTCACGTTGGCAATTTTAGTTGACACTTATTTTTTAAAATTTGGACATTATGTGCATTAATTTCTGTCAGTGAAATATATTGCAGTGAATATTTTACTTATCTGCTATACAAATCCTATATATAATTATTAAGGGTTGTTAATTTGGAATTTTAGCTCTCCATACAAAAGAAATTATTTTTGAAATTGGTTGTAAATTAATTGGTACTCGAGTTAAAAATTTATTTTAAAAAAAAATGAGGAGTTCATTCCTCGAGTTGTGTCCCTTATATAAATATACACCCCATATTATTGACTACAGAGCTGGTCTTATATATCTACCTCTTTCTATTTGAAGAAGTGAAAAATTGTTGAGAGCTGTGCCTTCAATTGCCCCCTCTACCTGGTTAAAACATTGATTTGTAATGTCATGGAGCTCAATGTATATTACTGTAATATTAGAGTAACTTCCCCCTGTTTTTTTTTTATTTAGGTGAAGTATTATATTATTAACGTAACCGGTTTACATGATGTGAAATTCTATGTTTACTATATTATCTCTACTTCTATAAACACAAAACATTTTAAAATAAAATAAAAACATGTAGCATTTGTTCTTGATGCAGGGAATTGTATAAAATATATAAATATATATATTACCATTATCACAACTTATCTTATATATCTGTTACTGTACAGAAAATATATCACATTATATTCATGTATATTCAGTATATGATATATATATATATATTATAGAATGTTATGTACAGTTATATTATCTCCTATTCACACCAGATGTACATGTGGAGAGAAATAAATTTGTCTATGCAAACTTAGCGAGTGGGGTAAATATTTTCATCTGCATAGAGCTTATAAGATTAGAACCATAACTAGAATGTCCTTCAGGGAACCGTGATGATCTAGTGAGGTCTGGGGTTTAATCCCATTATTGAGTTTCCTGGGATTTTCTAACCTGATTTACAGGTCCATCTCTTGACAGACTTGAGAATAATCTGTAGTGCCGCTATCCAGGTAAAATTTCCCACATAGCACTCTGTATGTCCCTGGTTCAAAAGTATTTTGCTCAATCTGAGCAAGCGCTCTGCTGAATGTGGGATGTGGAGTTGTTTTTCATCAGATTTCTTCCTCGGTTATTCTCAAATTTGCAGGTATTGAGTCATAAGGAAAAACATTGAATTTTTGAATTGCAAATTCCTGAGGTATGAAAGCTTGTGAATGTGATACAGGAATAAAACCTTGAGGCAGTATTTAAGAACTTGGCATCAGGAGAACCCAATAATGTCTTCTAATTGAAAATTTTGACTGCTCAAGCTTGTGAATAAAATACTGGACACAGGCACCTGTAATGTGGAAAATCTTTCAATATGAAACTGTGACTTAAGTGGTCTGAATATGATTCAGGGGCAAATAACTCATCTTAAAAAGATTCTTTATCGGTTCTTATACCCAAGGTGAGCAACAAAGCCACAGAAAAAAGTTGGGGTGATATATTCTGTTAACCAGTAGCAATACTCACTGGTTAGACAATTGAGTCTCTATATGTTACCAATGTAGACTCTACAATTCTTGTGTTATTGCTCTTGTCAAAAATTTCATTTCCACTCGATAACTTCTATTTTCGACAGGGAGAACATATGGTTTGGTTTATTTGCAACATTTTGCTTCTTAAAATCTCCACACATTATCATTAACAAGGTAAGAAGCTTTAATATAAAACATAGCTATAGAATAATTTACATAACACTAAATACATACCTAACAGAATCTTACAAAAATACACTTTCATAGTTAGAACGACATGTTGGCCTATACCCCAATTTTCTTTTTGTTTGTACCTCCCACATCAATATTAATGATTTTGAGAAACTACATTATACTTGTAAGTTATGAAAATAAACTTTCCATTTAGCACTCAAGTTTTCAAGGAAAGTGACATAATTAAACATGCAGGGCCTGGATGCCTTTGAAACTTAAGATCTAATATTAATTAACAATATCAATTTTTCCGAGCTATTTCTCATTGAATGTTTTTACTACAATATCATAGACAAATTTCAAAATATTTCTAAAAACTGTATAATTACAATGCAATTTTTAAATTAAATAGAAGAGCTATTGTTATGTATGTATAAAGAAATGATGCAAAAACAAATCTCAAATGATCAGAATTTGTAAGTTAATGGTAGCTATCATAGAAAAATAAATCCTAGTATGTACTTCATTTGAAGTATAGTTATGGTATATTTGCAGAGTTAATTTTACTAATGGTATTTTCATAATATTATTAATAATCAAACAATTCATTTTATACATAGAATACAATAACTGTATTATCCAATCAAGGATCCACACGGACATATTATTATATTCAACTGTTGACTAATTCACAGAAATAACAACAGCCTTATGAAAATGTTGTTTATCTTTACAAGTTATCAATATCATACTGTAAAATGGATTCATGAAACATCAATTATATCAATAAAAGATCAATATTGTTATCCTGCAAAACAAGAAATTAATGCACAATGAAATGTATTGGACTTGAAGGTGAGCAACAGAAATGTCTGATAATTACACAGATGTTATCTTATCAACAACATTGATTAACATAGCAACAAAGTGATCATTTACGGTTGGTTTATTGTTTTGTTATCTTTGATGACAATGCTGATTTCCACACGTAAAATGAATGAATTATTGCATGTTAAGGGTAACAGCTATAAAAATTATGTAAATTCATTGAAAATATATTGTCATTTTTCACGGTCCCACAAAAGTAAATACTCTCAAGAAATAGTGTGATGTTTAACAAAATGTATATATATTATTTTAAGGTAGGCCTACTATTAATTAATGTTAAATCTAAATCATTTATAGTTTGATGTGAAATGAATGTATGGAAATGTAAAATGAAACTTAATGAATTCTTGTAACCTGATGGTTTTCGTGAATAAATACATGTATATTAATATAACTCCTGCAACTACAGTACAACTGCATTGCTGATTCTCTCTTGATTATTAGATAAACATGCCCAGAACATGAAGCATGTGCCCATACTTCATTTTTTTACAGAATAAAAATGTTTATTAGAAAGTAATGCGGCTGGTGGAAGTTCTAACTTAACACACTAATATCTTGCTTGCCTTAATTTCTGGTTTAAATGCATACTTGGAGGGTTGGACAAATTTGACTAAACATTAAATACAACTAATCTAATGCCTTGTTTAATTATTGTATATAATATTAAAATGTAAGTAACATCCATATTTTAACTGTCACAAATGGGCCAGCTCTCGGACGCATAGTTTTCGCTTCTATGCATTCTATACACTGGACACAATCCTATGGAATACAGTTGTGTAGTGTGTTAAAAAGCTATATTTAGTCTTTATCTAGTAATGATAATGGGACATCATATATACATATAACAGTACTTAGTTGATGACCACCAATTAGCAACATCCTGTGTGGTGTGTATTTCAAGTTCAATTACTAAATGCCATTGAAATAATTTTCAGAGTAAGCCTCTCTTATCTTCCAATCACCTAACTTATGGAATGAGAACATTTCCAGAATATCTGATTTGTGATCTTGACCCATCCACGTGGAAAATACAAAATTTATGTTATGTACAGTAAGGATTTACTTCTGAAAACATTAACAGCATATTGTTTTGCAAAACTACATTAAACTTCATGCAGTAACATCATCACATTGCAAGGAGGTACCATAAATATATAATTATCATAAAGGGAGGTAAATCTGTCAACCTTAAGGAAGACATGACTTGATTCAAGGCACTATATATAAACATAGTAAAGAACAAATTTAATTAAAAGATTATATCATTAATAATAAATAAATTACAAACTACATTTATACATCTAAAATATCAGTACCAAGTATATACAATTCTTAACTGATTATAAATTACAATGGAATTTAATTATTTTGATCTTTATTACATCAATGACATCAGATAGCAAACCTAACCTATTCAGTTATACATATAGTTTCTATATAGAGGTTAGTAAGTACAGATACAGTGCAACTGGTACTTGGCTGGTCATATTACATCACCTTATATATATATTACAATAATTTGTATATTGATAAGTAATCTGAACTGGTCAAAAGCAATTAACTGCAGTTCACTTAAATAACTCTTACATTTCTCTATTTGAAAACTTTATTTTCATTCGAAGTCAGATCAGCACTTTAAAATGCATTTCTTCTAATCATATCTCTGCACACTGATCAGCAGTCAATATTCGCTAGGCAGCGACAATCACTGATAAGGATGACATTGATGCGACTTAATGAGCCACAAATATTAACTTTTTTCCTCCGACAAATTAAATTCTAAAACATTTTTTTATGTATTAGAAAAATAAATAAAGATGTTTGACGTATTTGTAGGTAAAAATTATTTCCTATTTAGTGTAAATGGGTATTAAAATAAGTAAAATGCTCGATTCCACCCGAACCAGTAAGGTCTTATGTAAACAATGCACGCGCCATTGAGCCAATGATTGACGCCGCATGATGTGTCATCACCTGTTGAAGGTAGTCATCTTTTACAGAGATATTAGAAGACTTTCGTAATCCTCTGTGAAACAGATTGATATCTCTGTTGTAGACTGATGATGAGAAATTAAGAGACGTGTGAATCTGTGAAATGACTTCTCTTACATTACACTCAACACCAATTTCAGAAAAGTAAAGCACTCATAGATAATATACATCAGAAGAAACAATGACTCTTTGGTAGTAATCACTTTAAATTAAATATCATTGTTTCTATGAGATTTTTGATCAGTTTCAAAAATATGTAACAGCTGTTGATGTTTAACTAGTCATGGGGATGTATCATAATGATATATTCATTCTCTTTTATCTTATGTGATAATTGATGTTAGATCAATCCATTCTTTTTTAGATAACACAAATGAGATTTTTTCCCTCCAGAACTTCTTCTTCAACCTTTCTAGATGAGGTGGATAGATCAGCTTTTATTGATAACATAGAACAGCCAAATGCCATGAGTGTTCCAAACACACACACATAGAAAGACCAACCTGAAACAATCAATTTAAAATCAGGTAATGGTACATGTTTAGTTTTTCACTTTTAACATTTAGAGTCATCATGTAATATTGGTTTCAATTGTTACAATTTATATAAGTATTATATACATTCCTACAGATAGTCAAGACTAGTCAAGACTTTTTCTAAGCTCCCCTAGTAATATTTGTTGGGTTTTTTTTGTTTGTTTATTTTTTTGGGAGGGGGGGGGGGGGTAGGTGGGGATGAAGCTCGGATATGTAAATGTTCATGCTACTGTGTCCCTATGGGAACCTCCCCTTATTGGCAATAAAGAAACTACAGGACTTCATCAACAACATATTTACAAATATCAAAGTATGCATCCGTTGTAGAAACAGGCATTCAACTTGATTCAGGGGGATATGTTCAGTAGCTATTTCAACATCAAAAAAACAACATGCTGTAAATAATCAAATACACCCACCCCACCCCACCCCTCCTTCTAAAAAAAACCCACAGCATCTTCATCAATATGAAGTGAAGGAGTACTTTACATGCACCATGATGTATTTATGTGTGTATTAATCATTTAAGTAGGAGGAAGTTTGAATCTGCTGAGCACTTCCACATACTGAAAGCCACTTGGTGAAAATAACTACACATAGTTTCATAGTTCTCAAATAAAACATTATCAGATATACTTATATCAAACTTTGGAATGTACAAGCATGACTGACCTGCCAATAGGCAAACTATCCCCAAAATGGAAATTTTGACTTTACAGAAATCCAATCCAATCTATTAATAAAGCCCCTAGTAATTATTTTGAATACTAGGGGATCCATAATTCAAAATGTGCCTAACAAGATATTGTTTGCTTCAAGAATTATACACCTGACAAATTATCATATTTTTCTAGAAAAATATTAGATACTTTGGTAGATACAGCTATCCATACAGTATTTTTGTTTCTGATGGATTAGATGTTTCATACATGTATGTATATATATTTGTTGAAATGATTCAGCGATTTTCTTAATTTTGACTAGTCTTCAAATTGTTTAAATTGTATCATTTTACCAAAAATCGCCTAGCAGCAGAGATTTTCAAGCTCAGAACAAAAACACAGTTTTCTCAAATCTTTTTGACAGAAGCCAAAAAAACTAATATTTACCTATAGAACATCTGTCGATATAAAATGGAGAAGCCTTATCACCACACAATAGATTTAAACGACGTGCTCCCCAACCAGCTGGATAGAGAAATAATCCTAATATATTCATCAATCCTGGAATATAATATAAATATATTTTCAATATTTTATTATTAATAGAAAGAAAAGAATCAAATTTAAATGAATTGTAAAACATATATAGATAAGTGAATTCTGGTATTAAATTATTAGTTTTCTTACAAAAAGCTTACAAATTATCACAGCAAGTGTTCAATAGACAATTAAATCCTAATATGGTTCCAAAATATGGATATCTATCTTCGTTTTGGGTGGGACATTTCTATTCAAAATAATCTTCTGATTTTTCAACAAAACCATGCGAAAGAAGGGGCCTTTTTAATAAAACTTCAATTAACTGTAACATAAAATCAAAGTTGATGGAATCCTGGTTAAACTTACAATAAATTTTAAGGTAGTTCAGATTTTGTTAATAAATTTCGGACATTCAAGTGAAATATTTGCTATCTCTTTACATCAGAGCTTCGACTATATTATGCTGGGCTCTAGAAACTCATGTGATTAGAGTGCAGATCAACAGGCATTTGCTAGAACTAACAACCAGATGGCTTCCTTATTGAATCTTTAAACTCTTGTAAATACTCACCTGCAATACTTTGTATTAATCCAGAAACAGTGAAAATGCTTTTACCACAAATACTGCGAAAACACATACTCAATAGTGATGTAATACATGTAAATAATAAAAATATAATAGCGACACTGAAGAAAAACAGGCATGCTTTCCAGGCATGTGGGAAAAAATCATCTTCCATATCAAAACCAGTGACAAATGTTGCACAATTTTCACGTTTGTATACTTCCTGGAAACGATGGAGTCTTGTACACCTGTTGAATATTCCAACTGTAGGATTAAAGTGTTCATTGGAGTCGTCACTTGTCGTGTTTTCCCATTGTGAATTTAACCCGAATTTGCGAGAAGGTCCAATAAGCCATTGTGGAGACATTACACTGATAACTACAACCATCAGAGTTGCTATGGAAGATAGGGTCCATAACAACGACCAACATGTAATGATAAAATAACACATGATGCTGACAATAGTCGTCACTGTCCTTTACTTCTCAACTTCAGATCTGCAAACGAAAAAAAAATGGTAATTTAACATTCATAAAATACAACAAATGGCAATTCTTTCCAGGCTGATGATAATTTTGTTCATTGCATGCCAGTTTACTTTGAACAAAAGCACCAGAACTCCACAGCTGGAGTAAGAGTGAGACGTTTAACCAAATGACTAAAGTCTGAAGATGATGTACGTGATATGAGGATGAATACAAACACAGCAATAATTATACACATTATATTGATTCCATCTTCCTAACTTAGATTGATTAATAGTCCTACAAACAGCAGAGATAGTATTTCGGGTCTATAACTCTCCAGATTGAATAAATCTATATCTATTAGGCATGATAACATTTGAACCTGCGGTTAAAGTCTGCCAACATATCCTTATCCACCATTAGCTGCTAAATAAGGAGATGAAATGCAATAAATACAAACTTGTGGAATAACAGAATATTGATTGCGGCTAGTAATTTGACAGAACTGAACGGCAGTTAAGGTACTCAAGTGGTTTACCCCAATCATAGTACAATAAAATAGATAGCCTATTATTACATTTCAATAGGTTTTCATTAGATTCATATTCGAATTATATATTCTATGTATAATGCATGAAGAAATCACTCTTTATTCACTAATATATAAAATGTGCCAGGTTTTGTTGGACCAATACTATTGCACAATTTAATGCCTTCTAATTGCCACAAAAAGCCATGTGTATGACTCGTAATAAATTTTAAAATGTCTATATTGAAAGATTTGTCTAAGAGTAATTTGCATACATTCTTGTCTAAAAGCAATCCCAATGAAACTATGATCAAAGCAGGACAAATAGGAAATTATTATTCAGATCTCCATATCACTAACCTTAAAGAGACATTATGAGAGATTAGATAAAGAGCTGACAGTTCTTGCTATAATAGTTAAAAGAAATAGATAACATAAAGAGTATATGCTAAAAATTTCAGTCAAATCGCTCCACTGTGAACTGAGATATTATCGAATGAATTTTAGGCCTATTCTCAATCATCATTACTAAAGTCGGTAAGATAAAAAACAAAGTCTCTATTATCCATTTTGATGTTAAATCATCCATTTCAATCCAGTAAATATCGCAGGCTAGGGATGGCATCAGGAGTTGATTATGGTCTGGATAAGTTAATTAATAATTTAGATAACATTTCAGGCCTAAAGACCTGCAATAGGTAGATTTAGCTCTTGTATTATGTACATGTATGTCTAAAATTCTTTGTATGCCAAAAAAAACATCCAGAAATACCAGAAATAATATTAAGCAAAATAACAATTTATATTTGTAAACAAATAACCTACATATAAATAAACAATTGATGATTAATAATTTAAAACAATTATTCACTGATGCCCTGTTACACCACTCCTAGTATTATGACTAAACATGGCAGCAACAATAAAAGAACAAATAAATTCACAAAACAATAGTGAATATGAACTTCATGGAGAGGGGGTCAGCCATTACTCATCATTCAGTGTATCAAATTTTATCCATTTCCCCACAACAGATGAAAGTAGTATAATTCATACATAGTTGACTGACTATTCAAACAATTTTGACATATCCAATTTTGTGGGAATTATCACTTGTGTATGATAGCATCAAATAAAACAATAAATTATAGACAAAACTGGAAAACTGCAAGACAAAACAGAACAAAAAGCTCCGAACTATTCTGATTGTTGGATAGTTAATGTCAGAAGTTTGGGATTTTTTAAAGTTACAATCCAAATCCTTCACATATATATCAAAAATATATATATAACATTATGAAATATAGATTTACACTTGTCTAAGACACATAAAGATGATTGTGTGAAATCAATAGAAACCAATGTAAACTTTAAATGGCCATAACCATATAATTAGTTACAATTGATCTGAATAGTTTTTCAACCAGAACCTTTTTAATAAAATTCAATGTCTTGATTAAAATTTCAAAGTCCTAAAAAATGTCTATGCTAATATTTTGTAGAAGTATATCGACAATCCCCTTCCTCTGCTTTATTTACTTAAAGTAACTGATACACTATCAGGGACTAGAAATAAAATATCAGTTTAACCTAGCCTTTCACTGATTATTTACCCTCAGGCCCACCTACCAGTCCACTAATCCAACATACTGGCTACAGAGCACATACAATAAAGGTTAGACCTATTGTATATTCAACACACGATTTAAGCCAATTAAATACCGTGTAGAAATATTGTATTCCTATTACTGTGTTATGTCAATATTACTCAAGACACACTCGACTCTTGTTACAATTATTATACGGTCACTTGAGAGTTCAATATATACCAGTCTGTAAAATTATGCTAAAACTATTAAAACTGGCTCCCTGACTCTTCTCATCAGTCTAATCGGACTTGGTTAAAATTTATATTGAATACAAATAATTATACGCCCAGACATTCAGGAAGGGTGTATACTATAACATAATTCACTTATTATTATGAATAATTACATCACTCATTGTGCAATTATATTCAATTACCAGAATATTAATTAAATCAACTTATCAGGATTAGTTTATTATTATTAAACTTGAACTGTTATTATTTTCTATGTCAATTAAGAATATTTATTTAATACCGCCTTGGTTATAGAATGCAAGGAAGATCCCTTTGCTATGACAGGAAAGTCTTTGGTTCTTACAAACAGTACCTTTTATAATAATCAACACATTTCTAATCAGATGGTGAACAGACTGGGTCCAGGTAAAACCCCTCTAGTGTCTTGAGAAAAATCATGTTATTTTTCTTGTTCTGGTATATTATACTTTTTATAAATTTTTTACAAAAACTGCATTTTCATTCAGTTGACATTATTAAATGATCATTAACTCATCAATCTAGTTACAAATCACAGAAGATAACTTACACTGATTGCTCTTTCAAATCTTTATATCAACAACAACAAAAAATTGAGTTAAAGAATGCAGATTTATAGGTTAAAAGTAAAAGATTTAAAACTAAAAAAAATGTCTATCCTAAAACAGAAGGCATTTTTTTTTCAGCAAAAAAAAAAAAATCTAAAATGAAAGTAATGCTTTTGATCAAAGAAGTGCTGATGAAACCCCCCAAAATGTGAAAAAAAGTTAACCATCCACGATAACTAACATGTATGAACATCAAAGAAAATACCGATGATATCCAACAGTAAATACTACAACTTTTACAGCTAGATTCCTGGAGATTTAAAGAAATTTTGTTGAACCACTCACCAAGATACACACTACTGATAGCTTTGGTAGTAAATGACAACTAGATGAAATAGTGTGTGTGCTCACTCACTGTATGTACCAATATAAGTTTGACTCATCATGATAGACAAAAGTAACTTAATTACTAACAGTACATTTACTGTATGGTTAAACTACATTTACCATATGGTTAAACCTGTCTCACTTTTTAAAATTATCCTATCTGCTTATTTCAATTTTATTTCTTAAATAAGCCATTTAGGGTAATTTGAGATTTTTAATTAAGCCTACTGTACATAGAGCAAGGTGTGATCCTAGTCTTGAAAAAAAAAACAACACACAAATACTTTCACAGAGTTTGACTCTTCAGAATTCTTTTTCAGCTTGTTGGCAGTCGAACAGTTTTGGCTTTGAACAACAAATGCTTTCAGTCCTCAAAATGCTCACACAAGGCAATTTTTTTTTTTTAACAAGAGACGAAAATGTCCTATAAATATAATGCCGATGTCAAATTTTGCTAAATACAAATCTTAAGCTATACGTTCATTATTTGCAGTATGGCTGTACAGTTATACCTCAAAGGCATGACATGAAATTTTGCAGCTCAAAATACCACTCTTAAAGAAAAAATAACACAAAACAATTTTTTCAATTAAAATACCAAAGAACATACCTTGTTTTTTCTTCCCAAGAGAAATTTACGTTTTGTTTCGTGACACCAGTACACCCACCTTATGTTTTCTTGTCCGTTATTTTACTTCTGTCAGTTTCCTTTTCTCCCAAGTTTATTTTGGCTAGTAGCGTAGGATTTGTCTAAGGGTTTACTTAAAGTTTACTTTACTTTCATCAATTACATTTTTTTCTTTTGAGTAGGATCTGGTATCTCTTGTATGATTAAGTCTTATTTTAACTGATATAACATGCCATCACATACATACTGACTGTTTATTTTGGCAGGACTCACTGCAGGCTCCGTACTTTCATGATACAGGTCAATATTTTCATTCATTTGGAAATACTTTTAGTTTTTTAAAAATAACTAACATAAGGTTCATTACTATTTTCTAATTGAGGTGAGTAGAAAAAAGTTTGAGTTGCAGCTGAAAATTTAACAACTTTTCAAAATTCATTTAATTAGATTTTTTGTTTTTGTATAATTGTACAGGTGTTCTATTTTATTTATATTCTTTATCTGTCAAGACTATTCCTATCATTGTTTTTGGCTTTATTTTATCTTATTTCACCTGTAGGATAATACACTGAAGATATTTCTAGATAAAGATCCACTTACCAATCTTTTACTCTTCATTTTTTACTGTTACTTATTTTTTTATATTTTATATTTTACACTTTAGTCTATAAATTGCCCGCAGTATATTAGCAAAATAACAAATTGCTGACCACATTTTTCAAATATCCAATCATTTTTATACCTAGTACATGAATGTATATATACCTATGCTATAATTAATTATTCAGGCATACAATTAGTACAAGAATGTACCAATATATAAATAATATGGTATAATCTGTTAACTTTCCAGGAATTATCAAATCATCAGTGAAGTAATTAAGGTCAGTCATTTGGGCCGCAGGTCAAGTATATATTTTTGATTGTAGGTTACTATATATAGATCTACATAGTAAGATTTCACTGATTAATAATTATTATTAAAATACATGTAAATTGAGACATAGTAATTGAAATAAAGTATGATTTGAACAATTCACATGAATTTTTTAATTCTTTCCTACTAGTCTTGAAAGA